CACACACACACACTTGATTATTAGTGTTTTGAAATATTTGTGTGTATATGTGAATACATACAATGTACACACACATGTGTACATTTGTGTGTGTGTGTGTGTGTGTGCATATGTGTGCATGTAAATGCAAGCATGTGTGTTCCAAGGTGCTCCTGTGGAGGTCAGTGGACAAACTTGGTGTTAGTTCTTGCCTTCTACCTTGTTTGAAGCAGTTGCTCCTTGTCTACCACTGTGTATACCAGGCTGCCTGGCCTGGGAATATTTTGACATTTTCCTGTCTCTTTCTCTTTTGATTTGGATTACAGATGTGTACTGCTGCGTCTGATTTTACACGGGTTCTGAGAATCCAAACTCAGGTCTTTACACTTGTACAGCAAGATTTACCCATTGACTCATATCTCCAGACCCAGGCAGTGTGTGTGTGTGTGTGTGTGTGTGTTTGTATGTGTATGTATGTGTGTGTGTGTGTATGTTTGTGTGTGTGTTTGTGTTGAACCATTAGATTGTAAGACTGATCAGCTTGGCAAACACTTCAGCATGCCCTAACAACTAAAGCATTCTCTGTATGTAGTCACAGTATAATGGGTGAAAACCAGGAGTTTCACCAGTGATATAAACCAATTTCTAATATACAGTCCATATTAAATTTTCAGTGTTGAAGGTTGGAATGAGGGCTCAGTGCTGTGGGATGGTGTTTCTATATGCTGTGAATATGTGTTATTACCATTGGTTAATAAAGAAGCTGTTATTGTCTATGGCAAGGCAGAATAGAGCCAGGTGGGGAATCCAAGCAGAAAGACGAGGAGAAGAAACCAGAGTCAGAGGAGATGCTGAGAGTCACCCAGGGAAACAAGATATAATGAAACACAGGTAAAGCCATGAGACACATGGTGATACATAGGTTAATAGAAACAGGTTAATTTAAGATGGAAGAGCTAGCTAGCAAGAAGCCTGAGCCATAGACCAAACAGCTTGTAATTAATATAAGCCTCTATGAATTTATTTGGGACTGAATGGCTGCTGGACAAGGTGAGACAGAAACTTCCATCTACAATTGGTGCCTGGTGTGGGACATGAACCCATGACCCTGAGATTAAGAGTCTCATGCTCTACCAACTGAGCTAGCCAGGCAGGACACCGAAAAATCTCAATCTACAATTAAAGGGGGTTGATTATAAATGGTTAATGGTTATAACCAATTTCTTTCTAAAGAAAAAAGAGGAATATAGAGATGAAAAAAAAAGGTAGATTATTGGGTCTACTTTAATCCAAAAAACAACTGTTAATCTCAAAATACTTTATATTTGGTTTGGATTTTGGTTTATTGATACAAATTTAAGGTCAATTTTGTTATACTGTATGTTTATTTCTACTCTTGTTTAAGGTATTATTTTATACAACTCATTTAAAATTGCAATAATCATTAATAAATGTAGATTAATAATCATTTATAATAAACTTATAGTCATGTTAGTTAAGTTTTATAGGTACACAAAGATATATTTTAATTAAGTAGGTAATCTTCAAACACGTCAAAGACCTACAGAATATGGCATTTAAAATGTTTTAATAACTTAGACTTTTTAGAACAGTGAGACTTGTCTGCTCCTGGCAGCAACAATTACTTCAAAGAGGATTATGGGCATTGGAGAAACTCATTATGAAGTTTGCTTACAATGTGGAAAAGGCTAGTCACTTGGGCAAGAAACTGTTCTTGCCTGGACTGCTTGACAGTATGTTGTATAAACTGGACATGCAGGACCCATAGGAAAGTGACCACTGAACTTTGCCAAATCAAGGTAAGATGGTCCTTCAGTTCCTGCTTCACAGAAGAAACTGCCAGACATTCTGCAGGACACAGAAAAAAGTGACTTGTGAACTTTGTCATTAGGCATAACAGTCCTTCAAATTTTTTGCTTCACTGAAAAGTCTGCCAGATACTCTAGGCCTATAGGCTGAAGATGAATGCCCCAATGTTACAAAAAAACATTGCGTGACTATCCAGGCACCAGCTGTCTCTGTCACTTCTAGAATTATGAAGTTTCTTGAAATGCAGTTTCTATTTACTTAGGTAATATCCTTCTGGGGTCTTTGATGGAGTTGAAGACTGATAGTTATAATTATAGTTTTCCCTAGTTATGATAAAAGGTAAATTAGATAGAAGACTCACAAAAATAGGATAGATGATAGGATATTTTTTTTTAGTTTTTCCAAATACAAATATGCTAGATATTATAACTGTAATTTTTGATTGATAAATGTTTTGTTATATGTAATTTTACTATGTTTAAAATGAAGACCTTCCTTTTTGATTAGACAGAAAAGGGAAAGTGCTGTGGGATGGCCTTTCTGTATGCTGTGAATATGTATTGCTACCATTGATTAATAAAGAAGCTGCTTTGGCCTATGGCAAGTTAGCTTAGAGGCAGGTGGGAAATCCAAGCAGAGATAGAGGAAGGAGAAAGTTGGGGTCAGAGGAGACACTCAGAGCCACCCAGGGAAGCAAGATGTAATGTAACACAGGTAAAGCCACGAGACACATGACTGTACATAGGTTAATAGAAATGGGTTGTAAGAGATAGTTAATGATAAGCCTGAGCCATAAACCAAACAGTTTGTAGTATAAGCCTCTGTGTGTTTACTTGGGACTGAGTGGCTGCAGGACACAGGAAAGTTTTTGACTACAGCTTACTGATTAAGAGCACTTGTTGCTCTTGCAGAAGATCTAGGTTTAGTTTCCAGCTTCCTCGTGGCAGCTTACTACTGTCTGTAACTCCAGCTTCAGTTCTAAGGGATCTGAAGCCTCTACTCACCTCTCTAAACTCCTGCATGCACAAGGAACACATATATACATGCAGGGACACACATACACATAAACAAATAAATTAATAAGTAAATAGATATTTTAATACAAAGTTCAGTATTATTCTTTTAATTTTTTTCCTCTCGTCCAAGATCTAATCAAGAATAACACATTTTCTTTATTATTTATATCATTTAATTTCAGTAGTTCCATAATATATCATAGTATCTTTTGTAACAAAGACTCTTTGGAAACATAAAATGGGATGTTGACTGGATGTATTTTGATTTAAGTGTATCTATTTCTTTATGAGTTAATTGTGTTTAAGCAGTGTTGAAGGGTATAACAGGGTTTTTATTTAGGGCCACCAACCAGCTCCCAAATCATGACACAGAGACGTGTTATTAGTTATGAATGCTTGGCCTTATCTTCGTTCTTATTTTAATCTGTTTCTCTTTATCTACATTTTGCCTTGGAGCTAATTGCCTTTCCTTCCTTCCTTCCTTCCTTCCTTCCTTCCTTCCTTCCTTCCTTCCTTCCTTCCTTCCTTCCTCTCTCCCTCCCTTCCTCCCCCTCCTATCTCTCTTTCTTTCTACCTTTCTTTCTGTATATCTCACTTTCCCTGCTTCTCCATGTCTGGCTGGTGTCTGCCTGGCTTCTGGTCCCAGGCATGTACCTCTCTTTCTTCCTTGCTCTCTCTTCTCTTTCATTCTTCCTGAGCCTAGATTTTTTCACCTCCTTATTTTTTTCTGTCTGCCAGCCCTGGCTATCCCTCTCCTGCCTAGGTACTGGCTGTTTAGCTTTTTATTAGACCAATCAGGTGCCTTAGGAAGACAAGGTGAAACAGCAACACATCTTTAAACAACTAAACAAGTACAGCATAGACTAATGTAACACACCTTTACACAGTGAAAGTAATATTCTGCAGTATAAACAAATGTAAAAAAATCTCTGCCTAGTTAAAGTCATATTCCAGAACAGAAGGGAGAACTATACTCTTAAACATGATTGCTATATGTGACTGACTGACTGACTTCTCTGCTGTGTCTGACTTCAGAATGTACAGCTTTCTTTGCCTTTTAATGATGACATTAATTGTGACACTTAGGTGGTGTCTGGAAATGTCTCCATTGCAAATATACTTGGCTTGGAAGTCTGGGATAATCCTTTCTGCATTTTACAAGTGTTCTTTACAGTGCTTTTTCAAATATGAGCAGCAGGGGTTCCTGGTTTCCTAATGGTGTACCCTGAAGCTAGCCTGTATCTTTATGTTCTGTGTCATGAGGCTATGGCCTTATTTCAGCAATACTCATAATTTTAAAAAGAATCTAGTTAAATATAACTATCTACCTTATCAGTGCTCACCACTGCTTAAAACACATCATCAATGTTAACTCCATTCTATACTATTCATGTCATTCTCTAATACTGTCTGATTACTCACCCACAAAGGTAGCCTTTACAATTTCCAAATATTTCTCACAAAGTTTATTTCTATAGCTTGCTTCCATCTCAGGAAGTACATCTGTCCACCTCTCGTACTCTGAATAGGCTTTATCTCCCTCTTCACTCCTTATTCTTACTCTGCTTTTCCTATACTTTTCTTGAAGGGGAAAAAGACTCAGCCCAAATGTCTGACTTCATTGCAATTTTCAGTTCCTTTATGGAACAGTGCATTTTGGATTCAGGTATGGTTTCCTTATAAACTGAAATAATACCAACTAAACACAGGAGCCTGCTGCCATCTTGTTCAACCACACTGCAGATCTTCAGGGCTTCTGTTCCCTTCTGTTTGGATGATTCAATATTTAGAGTCACCTGATTTAGTGCCCATGTTTATACCATGAGCTCTTTCCTCCAGATATAGCTGCAAAAATCTAAACAGCATCTATGAATAGTAAGACATTATTTATACCATACATTAAGATAATAATGAACACAGCACACCTATTATATATATATATATATATATATATTGGATTCCAGAGACAGAGTCATTCACATTGAGTCCTAGTCCCAGTGCACTTTGCAGATTAGTTGTTATAATTTAATAAATAATCATTAAACAACTGAATAATAGGTTTTATTTAACTAAGCAGAATTCCAAGACAGATTACAGAGTACAAAAAGTTTGTAACATACTAAGTTTCATGAGAGAGTTTTAAAAATCACAAGAAATCTATAGCCAGTGCTTGATTGGAAATCATCCATATTGACAAAATTGTACAACATTCTCTCCACTGTGCTTCTTGTTATTTTATCCTTTAATTCTTTACAAGTCCTGCTGTACAGTCTTTCTCATGGCATGTCTGAAATGTAGAGAGAGAGTAGGCCTAATTCCATCTCCAAAATCATTTCCCACATCCCCTCAGACTCTGCAGTGGCATAAATTGTTGATAATATGTCCAGGTTAGCAGAGTTACTTAAAGGAGCAGACAGTGTATGTGGCACATTTATTAACATCATATATAACTGGGCTGGAACTGTACAGCCACTTTCTATTTAGTAAAAAAGGTGGGGGAAGAAGTGCTGCTGAGGTTTATGAGTCTGCCTCTGGACCCAGCAGGTGAGTTATGCACCCAAATAACTCCTGTGTATCATAAACTGGAAGCTAATAAACCATCTTTAAACTGTACACTGTCTCTCCAATTGAAAAAAATGGATCTATTATTTCCTGTCTTTGAAATGGCATAGTAACAACTCCAGTGAAACCAGACAAACCCCAAAGCCTGAGAAGCTTGATAGATATTGTCAACAAAAGCTTTTTTCTTCACATGGACACAGACAGGTCAACCAAGGACAAGGGAATGCTTTAGACCTGGCAGGAGCTGGTGGGATGTCGTACCAAGTGGGTTGTAAATCATGTCTTGTCACTGTCATTCTCAACAGTAAGAGGCCTTAGCCCACCAGCTTTCTTAATTGAAGTTGCAGGCTTCAATGATGTGGTTAAGCACTTAACACAGTATAGCACTATCCTGCAATTATGTGTTTACATAGCTGCTTCTTTCCCTTCACTGCGAGCCTTTTTGGGGGTGTTCACTGTGCCACGGTCATCTTTGTGTTTTCCTCCTTCATGACTCATACTTTTGCGAAACATTTCCAACTTACCCTAAATATGCCTTTGTGCCCCTCTTCTTTCCCAGCTCCTGTGGTGACAGCCACTGCATCTCTCCCATGCACTGCAGAGTCCCGGGTCTGCTGTGGAATAGCGTGTCTGTAATAGGAGAAACAGAAGCACAAGTTACTAGTATTTGGCTCAAACTACATGTGCATTTTGAAGAAAACCATCTATTAAGAAAGGGTCAAGGGTGCTCCTGTCTAAATAGAGTGAGAAAAGAAGGAATTGGTGTTTATTTCTATATCAATAAGTACCAGTAGTGAAGGCATCTTGATGAGGTCACATTTATATACTGTTGGTAGATGGCCTTGGTAGGGCTATTTCAGAGTCCCTCTGAGTGAACCTCTCAGACATGTTGACCTATTCCTGAGGTCTTATCTTTCTCCCCAGGACAAATGTTTTAGATAATCCCTTCCCCACACTGTACCAGTGAGAACTCTGCTATGTCATTCTAAAACACTGTTGTATAGCACTCTTCCTAGGGAGGCATGAACACATGTCTACTCACCCCAGAGAGGGAATTGAATGGCAGACCAAAGTTAGACTATCTCCAAAGTCCAACTTGGCTAATTAGTGTATTTTACTGGGGTGACTTACAGGAATAGGGGTGAAAGGTTGCTTATAGGAACAGAAATGACTCAAGGACAGATTAATCATGAAATCCCACCCAAGTATGGTGACAGTTCATGAAATCAGGAAATCCGAAGCACACTGCATAACTTGCAGTCAGTTCGACAGGTTGGAGCGTGTCTATTTGGAGCTTGGCTGGAATGTGCCTCTTAGAGGCAACTCTGCTTATTTGAGATTGACTCTTAGCTGTCCTCACTTCTTATATACAAGTGAGAAGAGTTAGGCCTAGAGAATCTGGTCAGTTTCAGGGACTTCCTGAAGTTGTGCATTGTTTATTTCTTCAGTTTTAAAGAACTTACATGCTAGATGGAGTATTTCACCTCTCTCTCTTTAGAACATCTTCTGTTTTTACTAGCTTTCCTTCAAGATGGAAGGTTTTTCTTTAATAGAGGGAATTGCTATACAGCACACATATAAGAGTGAAATGTGCCATGAAAGAAAACTAAGATTTTTTTTTGCATTATAGAATTGTTTCCAAGAAATTCCTTTAAATAATTCTTATAGTTTATTTTTAGTGTGCCTTATTTGTTTATCTATCTATCTATCTATCTATCTATCTATCTATCTATCTATCTATCTATCTATCTATCTATCTATCTTTGAGACAGAATTTCACAATGTAATCTTGGTGGCCTGGGACTTGCTATGTAGACTGGGCTGGCCTTGAACTAACAAAGATCCTCTTGCCTTTTCTTCACAAGTGCTGAAATTAAAGGCATGTGCCATTATCTCTGGCCATTATGCCTTATTTTCATACATTCAAACTTGCACATTGTTATTCTAACATGTCAAACAATTTTTATTATTTTCCATAATGTAATCCCCAAATAATTTGTAAACATTTTCTTCAAAATGAAGAAAAAAATTGTGGCTTAGACTGTTGTTCACTACATCAATCCCATGGTCTTTGACCTCCAGTTGAAGAGTCTGTACCATGCTGGAATTCAGCATCACTCCATGGATGTCGCCTTCTTAGCTCTTACATACCAATGGAAGGTCATGGGCATGAGTGTTATGCATTTTCTAACATGCTGCCCAAGAGACAAAAATGTCACTAACAGTTCTGTTAAAGTAGACTAGCACAGAGACATTTTTGGAAATGATTCTGTAAGTATTGGAAGAAAAATAGAGTGGGAAGCTGAATGAGTAGGAGAGGTAGGAGAGCCATAGGTAGGGAGCATCTATTTTCATTGGTTTCTTAGAGAGCTACTGAGGATGCTTTCTAAGGTTAGGGTTGTTTAGAAAGAAAACATGTAGTAATTTATTCAGTGTTTTTATCTTAAATTGTATTTTCACTTGACATGCCTTTGCCTTATGCACCAAGTACCCCCTCCTCTCTTTCATTTAAGATTGATTTGCAAGGGCTCAGCACCTGGTATTTTCTAGAAGCTGGGCAAAGGCACAAGAGGTTCTTGTGTTAAAAAATTTAGTAGTTTCTACACTCTGAGCACAGAAGGAGGCTTCTATGATATGGATTCATTAAGCCTTATATGAAAAAAAAAACCTCCTTTGGGGAAGACTTATATGAAAAAAAAACCCTCCTTTTGGGAAAAGGCTGAAGGTTTTTTTGTTGTTTTGAGAGGGGGGGAGTCTCATGAAACAGCTCATGTTTTTATAAGGAAGTCATGCAAGATAAAGCACTAAGTCTTCTCAACCTTGGGTTTTTAATTCCACTCGTCTTTGAATGCCATGGAGCAGTTCTTCAAGCAAATAACCACCTGAGTGCTTCCCCTTGGAAACTGCCAGATGTGGCTATTCTTCCTGCTTCAGCAGGCTAAGACAGCCCTGTTCTTTCTCTGATAATAGAAGTCGAGTCAACAGCCACAGCAGATGCCCAAGAGCGAAACAGATGTGAGGAACTTCGGGGATCACCAGAGCATACACTGTGTCAGATTCTAGGAGAATTCTGGGATAGAAAGTGATAACAATACCCCTGTCTCACCAAGAACAATGGCTGGGTTCATCAGGGGAACTCTATGGTGTGCTTGGGTGGACAGCACCATAGCTCTCAGTACCTTGGCTTTTACAGGGACTTCCATACTTAATGAATGAGAGCAAGAATATCCACTTTCAAGGGACTGTGGTACTTTTCACATCATGTGTGTAATGTCTGAACCTCCATATTGTGTTTAACTAGGGAGGTGAGGTGGCTCTCTTAAAAACAAACAAACAAACAAACAAAAAAAAAACACACAACCCCTAAACTAAAATTGAAATTTCCTGTAGTAAAGAATATTTGTTTTAAGAGAAATAAACCAAATGGGAGTTTCTTATTCTTGTATTATAAAGTAAAATTCATGTCTACTACAAACACTTCATAAGATATTCATAATGAAGTTTAAAATGAGTAACAAATAGTTTGTAATAGGGTTATTTAGTGGGTCTTAATGTGCTCAATTTTTCATAAAATTAATATTACAAAAACCCCACTTTAGAGGCTGGAGAGATGGCTCAGTGGTTAAGAGCACTTGCTGTCCTTGGAGAGCATCTGAATTCAGTTCCCAGCATCCACATGGTGACTTACTACCATCTGTAGCTCTAACTCTAGGGAATCCATTTCCCTCTTCTGGCCTCTACAGGAACTGCATGCTGTGGCACACATACATGCATACAAGCAAAATACTGATACATGTAAAATAAAATTAAATTTTTAAAAAACTTTGCAAAAATTCTACTTTATAGAGTTGTTATAAGACTGAAAAACAGATGAGACAGTGATTATAAAACTATGGAAACATTGGCAACATACAAAACTGGCACTAGTCAATAGGCCGGAACTATCCAACATATTCACATATATTCATTTTTATTTAGAAGCTGATGCATAAAATATGGAAAAAAATCCTAAAATGAATTGTGCCTCATAGTTTCTTTTGCATAACAAATTAACCACCAGTGTAAACCTGATGAAGTGATGTGCATTTCATCCTTTTCCCTGTATCTTTCAGACACGTGCTGAATTTTCTCTGAGTCAGCACTTGTTTTATTTGTAGGGAAATAAGATCTTGGCTTTGATCCTTGTAAATGTGTCATGAGTGTTCTAATAGTAGCTCATAATGTTTCCTTTGTCTGAAGCTCTGGCTGCTGTTTGTACGGGTTGAAATGACCTGGATTTGGGTCTTGCCAAAATTTGACATTAACATTATGATCCTGTTTCTTTCTACACAGAATGACTGATTCTAAATGGTCCAGAGAAGATGACTAGATATGCTACTTCCAAGGACATCCAGTGTCTGGGACACTACACACTTTGATGAGTGCTCCCCTACCCCATGTGGTTTATTCTTCTCCAGAACTTCTTCAGAAACACCCTCAAAGACAAACTCAAAAGTGTATCTCCTAAGTGATCTTGAACCCAGTCAGACTGATAGTTAAGATCTACTATTAAAGTGTGCATTTCTTTTTAAGGAGTATGTAATTTTACTTTGTGACATAAAAAATTCTTCATATTAATGAAATTTTACTTAGTATAGTTAAAATTTTTGCATTATATACTAAGATGGTCCATAATTAATTATACATCAATTGGTAGACATTTGCACTTGGATATTTTGATATTACAAGGTTCAAGAGGCAGCTCTGTGTAACTATTAAAAAGGCCAGTTCCACTGGCTGAAGTGTTATGGACAAGTTACTTTTCAGTATTGACAAGTTACACTATGTCAGATTTAGGCATATCTGAGAGGATTGTACACTCAGCAATCTGGGGTTTTGCTAAGAAAACTGAAACTCATCAGAGACAAGGTTAGACCTCCAATTTCCTCACTTCCTATCCACTCTCCTCACTTCCTGTACACGCTTCTCACTTCCTGTCCACTGTGCTTCTGTGTAAGTTACAGCTGTGTAAGATTGAGCTGGTCTATGCTGCTCAGCAGATTCTCAAGGCACTTGTGTGTTTCAAGTCTAGAGAAAGAAGGAATAAAGTTGACTCTTACTTATGGAAGCATGGGGAGCTTGCAATATGTTTTCTTAAATGATAAAAGTACCCATGCTTTCTAAAGGAATAACAAGTAAACATGGGAACAACTGTGAGAATGTACTGGAAGGTCCTGGTATGTGCTGTCATGAGCCAGTAGAGTATTCCTGCTTCAGATTTTCAATAAAGAAAAAATAAAAAGTGAGATTAGATATGTTGGAATTTATTGACTTGAGGCTTTCTTTTCACGAATGAATTTTAGCACCCGAGTAATATCTTCAGGGAATGGGCAAACATACCCTGAGGATGGCACCTAAAAGGATGGTAAAACAATGGCTAAAGAGCTAGTGAGGTGAAAAGATCTGAGCTGCTGCGGTGACTCAGTGGGTAAAGGCACTTGCCACACCATGCCTGACAACTTGAATGAATTCCCAGTACTCACCTGGTAGAAGGAGTGAATGGACTCCCACAAGTTATCCTCTGATGTCCACACATGCTCTGTCAGTCCCTCCCCTTCTCTCTGTTACACAGAACACCTTACTGGCTCATGGCAGTGATAGGCATGTAGTAATTAACCAGAGAAGATAAGGAGGAGATGGCAGGGATCCTGAATGCCTTAGGAGGACTCATGTTTTCCAGAGACTGAGCACCAAACATGACAATTCATGGATCTATTAAAGCAATAAAGCTTAGTAGAATTTCAGTGCTCACTGAGATCTCCTTTCCAGTAGTAAGAAAACTTCCATTCCCCATCACAAACCCATTAGAACACAAACGGGAATGCCTCTCCAGCCATTGGAGTGGGCTGCGGGGAAGCTTTCAAATTTTAAGAGTACCTGAAGCAGTAGAAAGCTTTCCAGCAGATCCAGGCTGTAGTCCAAGGAACCATTCTTCTTTAATCAAAGGATCAGGAAAACTGTGGTTTTGGAAATGTTACCGGTAAAGAAATATTCAATGTAAATTTCACGGCAAGCATTTTGGGAAAACATACTATAGGCAGACCACCAAGAGAGATAAGCAACGTTCTAACGTTCTCAGCCAGGGATTAAATGCGCAGATATAATAAAAGTATTTATGACATGTATGAAAATGTCATGATGCAACCCATCATTTGCCAGAATTAATATACACTAATAAAAATGGGGGAAGAAAATCAAACACCTTATACCGAATAGCGCCTTCACAGAGATTCAAGATGAGTGGTGGAACATTCACTTACTGGGGTGAAACCCTGTGTCCCAACCTCAGCACTAAGTGGCAAGGAATCACCATGGAGTGGAGATGTCCTAAAACCATTTGAACCCCCCCCCCAAGTTTATTATGTGGATAGGATGGGGCTGGTGTTTGGGTATAAGCTGAAAATGGATGGCATATGTATTAAAGTCATAGCCGGTGGTAAGAAGTGGAAGAGAATATCCCTGTGGACCCGAGGCTTCTGTTCTTCAGCTTTGTGTTCTCTGGAGATTTTCCTTACAAGTTACAGGTGTATGATATGTTGTGAGCTGTATGCTTCCTGCATCCTTATCTCAGTGAAAAGGACCTGCTCCTTGCTCTACTCATTCTGAACCTGCCTCCAAACAGCAAAATGGTGGAGCAGGGCTTGTTTCCTATGTGTCTTCCTTTTAGTGAGTCCAATTGTACTTTGCCCAATGTGAAACTCCTGAAGTCTTGTGTCTCAAGAAAAATTTACAGTTTGATAACTTAAATAAAAAATACATTTATTATTTATTTGCTTATGTTTGTGTATGTGCAAGTGTGTTCCACAGAACACACATGGAGATAAAAGGAGAACTTGAAGGAGTCAATTATCTCCTTCCACCATGTGGGTCATTGGGATTGAACTCAGGTCATCACACTTGGCAGCACGCTCCTTTATTTTCCATCTTACCAACTTCAGTTTGATAACCATTTTGATGGAAAGGCCAGTCACAAACCAGTCACTCTGTTATCACTGTGAGTGTCCTTCTCTATATTGTCTGAAATTCACTTTCATTGTGTTTTTTTTTTTTTTTGTGTGTGTGTGTGTGTATAATGAATGGCATTGGAGATTGAACCTAGAGCTTTGTGAATGCCTGGCTATCTCTCTGCACTGTGCTACTTCCCAGCTCTTAGGTTAACTTTTATGATCATGATGTAGGTGAAAAGTCCAAAGCAGCTTGTGGAGTTCACAGCTTGAATTCAGACATAACTCACTATTCATTGTTATATTCAGTACATTTAAGGTTGTAAACCTCTGACACAAGAACGGATTAAAAATATCATTTGGACCAAATTCCTTCTCCTGTTTCTTAGGCATCTGTCTGGGTTGCATCCTTTTGAAGAATGTTTCATAAAACCCATGCTGAATATGAGTGTGATGTAGAACATACCTAGACTTTCGGTGGCCATGATCAGAGGAAGTAGACATCACTGTCCAATGGTTTATACTTTGGACCCTTTAGTAAACATTTTTTAAAGTAGCCATTAGAGCACTGAGACAGAAGTGAGAAATCCTGACTTCAAGTGTCTCGGAATTCCCCTTCTGGACACTGTCTCCTGCTTTTCTAGTTTTCAGTATATAAATGGATGTCTCCCACATAGGCATGGTTGGAATAGAGCAGGCACAGTAAGGATGAGCATGAATTAATTTCCTATTCCTGATATATTTCTCTTCTCCCCTTTTGTATGCCACATCTCTTAAGTCCTGGACCTGAAGCAAGACAGCATGGGAACTCTTACATGAGACTGTACACATGACAAATGCCTGCAATTTCCTGTGGATCTATTTTATGAGGGCTTCTGTCTCTGGAAAAAAAAAAGAGCTGAAACAGCTCAATTAGCAATTGTTTTTGCATTCATTTTTTTGGACCCAAGGATATTTGGCTAATTTTACAGTTGGCATTAGCTGTAGTCATTACTGAATGTCTCCTGCATAAATTATGGCATATTCAAAATGTGAAAATTCT